CGTCAAACTGTGGGCGGGAGGGACTGTTGCTGTTGCTGTTGGTGTTGTTTTTGTTGGCGTCATGGCATTGCTATTGCCATCATAGACAACACCATCCCAATGATTGTTATGCGCGCTGGTACTGGTAGTGGTACTGGTACTGGTGCAGGTGGTGGTGGTGGTTGTGGTGGTGTTGTTGGTGGTGGTGTTGGCAGCCTGCGACTTGGTCAGACTGCTTTTGACCTCCAACAGTCGTAGCTTTAGTGCGTTGTGGTCGTCGTTGTCGTCGTTAGGAATGGGGATGGGGATGGGGTTACGGGATATGCCAGAATGTGGAGGAGGGGGAGGGGGAGGTTCAGAGACGGGGACGGTGTCGGTGTCGTCTGCGGCATTGTCGTTCACAAAATCACGCAGACGTTGCTGTTTTAATTGATGCTCGCGTATGAGACGATCTCGTTCGTGAAAGTGACGAACGAACAGTTGTTCGCCATTGTGTCGAGCTGGCTGCTGTGGTTGCTCCAGGCCGGGTCCTTTTACGGCGATGGTCGTTGGTTGCTGCTGTTGTTGCCGCTTTGACTGTGGCTGTGGGGTTAACGACTTTGTAGCATACGAGCAGGCGCTCGCCAGCTTCTCTGTTTTGGCTGCCGTCAGCTGAGGACGCAGTCTAGGCAGACTATTAATTAAGGTGGCCATGGTAGCTGTTGTTGCTTTTGTCGTTGTGGGCAACACTCTGCTGCCTGGATGGTGTTGTTGCTGCCGTAAATGTAGTTGTTGCTGATAATGATGTTGGAACATAATTTCGTGTAGAGGTATTAGAAACTCTTGCAGGGATTCTTGTGGCTTGGCATTGACGGATGCTGTCGTTTGCTCCTCTCTCTGGGCTTCCCCAAAGTATGACAGACATGTGTGTGGCATCGGCCGCCCCATTGACATCATCATCGTCATCGGCAGTGGCACTGGCAGCGGCAGAGGCAGCGGCAGCGGCTCGACGTCTGCTGCCCCAAATGGCGTCGCAAAAGCGCCGTGCATTGGGCTCATCAGCTGGCCAGCGGCTGTGGGTGGTTGGGGGGGCGGGCTTTCTCTGCTGACTGCTCCGGAAGTTACATATGACGGCGTTTCAATGTCAGCAGCTTCCGCTTGGTTGCTGTAGCTGTAGATTTTGGTGTTGTTTTTGTGTTGACTATAATTATGATATCTGGTGCCGAGGGCGTCGCACTCGACTGCCTGCTCTGTCGGCCCTAAATACCAAGGATTTAGTGCTGCCATTGTTGCGACAATTGTTTTTGGTGTTTGCTGATGACGACAGCCTGCGCCATTTAGCAGCGGTTCGGCTATAAATCAAGAGGGTAAAGGAGGCATAAAAAAGATTGCATTTTTATTAACTTGACAAGCACAAACAAAAATATACTGAAAATTTGTTGTTTTTGGCCCAAAAAAAGGGTTTAATGTACCCAGCTAGGCACGACGCACATCATTATCCACACTTGGTGCGTCGTCATCCCCTAACCCTTTAACAGACACACACACACACACTGACACAAACACACGGAGTTACAAATCAGTTATGCAACTACACCCCTTTGCCACATTCGGCGAATAAAATCATTTTCCTAAAGAGCATAGGAACAGTTGATCCTGTAGCTGCTGCCATATTGCTTGAAGTTATGTCACTATCAATTACTCATCATTATTAAGCACCACCACGCCGATTCCCGGATCCCCATCCCACCTCACGCCACTCCCGGACCGGCTGTGTCACGTTGTCGGGGGTTGCACGCCATTTTTTAAATATTTAATCAGTTCGATCAGCTGCATGGCGTCATGCTCTTCAACTGCTCATCATCGCTGGAGCCATTTATGACTTTGATTGATTATGAATCTGTATATAATTTGTATTTTGCAGTAATTTGGTCATTAGATTGGGTTGGCCTGATGGGCTGAGGGGTGTGCTACGAGGGAAAGAATATTTTAAATTTGAACATTTGTGCGTTGTGTGGGCGTTGTAGGAATAATCGAATCAGACCCGCCTAGAAAGCAATTCTTGTAACTTTATTTCTGAGTAGTGGTGCGTCGACGAATAGCAATGCCAGTTGCCAATTACTGGGCTGACCAAATGGGACATTTTTTATTTTATAAATTTAGTTCTGAAGAAGTATTAAATCTTTAATACAGTTTTTATATAATAAATGGCATATTTCGTACACAAAAACCTCTTAAATATCATCTTGTGAGGTCCCTGAGCAGACAATACTTTCCAAGTAATAATGAGAATATAACGAAAAACACTCATTGCATCCGAATAGTTTAAAGTCGTTGAAGATTCTTGCATGAATACACGGATATATACGCATCGGCCAACCCAACAGTCTTGCTGCGTCTTTCTAATGTGTTTGCCAGCCGGTGCATTGCACAATGCAACAAAGGATAAAGGATATTGCCGCAACAAAAATCAAAGCGCGTATAGGAAAGCAATAAAGCAGCAGCAGAAACCAGTCTGTAGATAGGGAAGAAGGGTAGCAGGGGCGCCATCTGAGTGTGCGTGTTAATCGCCATGTTGCAGGTAAATAATCGCAAAGTAACAACGCCAAAGATTTAATGGCAGAAAACCGCCAAAAATGCTATGACCCGACATCCCGCCAGACTGCGAAGGATGTGTTTTTTAATGTCTTCTTTTTAGGTTGTCCGACAAAAGGGGCGTTCCGTCCGTTCTGTCCATATATGTAGTAGGATGGCGGGGCCGGTGCTTTGTCTGTGCGTTCGGTTTAGTTGGCACAGCTTGCCTTAAGTCGCTTCGCACACGTTGGAAGGATGCTGCTATTGCTGCTAGTGCTGCTGATGCGAGGATGCGAGGATGCAAGGATTCATCAATTTTTAAGCCTTCCCGTTGCGCTGTGATTGGCGTTCAACCGGCTGCTGTTGCTTCTCTTTCGCTGTAACAAATTGAGCCTGAAAAAGGATTTAATTTTCAGTTCTTTAACAATTGCAGTTTGTGGCTTGTGGCGCGCTTCTTCTTCGCTGTGGCTTGTGGCTGGCAGCTGTCGTTGGATCTTTTTAACAAAGCTGTATAGTATTGCGATACAGAATTACTCCTCCAATATATTCTTTATTCTTTCTACCATTGCACACGGCTCGCGAAAAGGGCGCCGCCGTCAAATACTTTCACCTTTTCGGCCTCATTTTCGATGAAAATTTCGGCATATTGTGTGAATAGTTTCGTCAGCTGGCGGGGACATGCATTCACCGAGTTGACAGGCATTGAGGAACTGCCAGTTGCTTTCCGAAAAAGTCAGCTTTCGCTTATTGCTACGCCCTCCCGTTCCACACTTGCCCCTTCCTCATCGTCTGCAGTTTTCATTTTCATATGCGCAATCCCACTCTCACTATTTTGATATTCGATTCACTTCCTGTCACCTTTGCTAACCCCTTTTTGCATCCTTAAGATCTCCTCTAATTGTTTTCGTGAATTTATCGCAGGCGCGTGCCAAAAACACACCCCAGCCTGAACACGCTTCGCCATTTGATAAGTATGTTCAACGGGGTGTAAATGGTAGTTAATATTACCGTTATTATGCTAAATTCGTTGAAAACGCGTGGCCGAGTTTTGTTCCCCTATCAGTGTTTTCTGTGGCTCCAGTTCTCGCATGTAACGTTTGTTTATTGCCACTCACTTATAGCTACCTGGCGTAGATACATACTATACAAGTATGTACATACGAGTATGCGAGCATAAATCAAATGAATAGTGCTACCTGATAACCACAATACTCGTATGTAACCAACTTCAAAGGCAGCCCAGTAGCGCATTATTCAAACAGTTCTATTTTCGACTTTTTGAATGGCTGGCTGTTCTAATGAACATTCTGTGGTTTCCTAATCTAGTGGAATGCTCAATGCATCATTAGGAGCGGGGCAGCATAGTGTTGGCCAATTCATTCATTCAAATTGTGATTGTGGGGCAAGACAGAGCAATAAGTGGACCAAATGAATTCAACGGCACAGGCACACAGTAGCACATATTCAAAATGTATGGACAGGAAAAAGAGTAGAATGCTGTATACTCTTTATTCTTTGATATTCTTTATCTTTTCTTGAGTTCAAAATTAAAACTAAAATGCTTGTGCTGGCGTCATGTTTCAATACCTATATGGGTAGTAACAAGCCGATTTCCCTCTACTTAAAAATTACACAATACCCCAAAAATCGTTTCAAAATGTTACCTTATAATTGCGGCTATTATTTCGAATGGGGTCATTAACATATGGCTCTCAAACAAAAAACCAAAACACAGCCATAAAATAATTTCGGCTAAGCGTCGAACGAACAAAAAAGTTTGATCTATAATTAGCGATAAAATAGGTAATAAACTCCAAAAGCTGTATGATAACTGAACTTTGATAAGAGTGCCGGTACCTTGATGTAAAGTGCTAAAATTTCTCCGAGCCACGCTTAATTGGAGAATGCGCGCATCTCCAGTTTCAGACGAGATTCCCGATGTGCCAGTTTTCGCCAGACTGTCGCTTCAATACGCGAGCGAGCCAGGCGCATTCACCTCATTAGGAGAAAGAGGCAAATCAGATTTAGAATAACAATAAATTTTTCCACTCTTCAACGACGTATAGCCCTGCTGTGTGGTTGGCAATCAGCAGCCGGCAGCCAGCAGTCAGCAGCCGGCAGCGGTTAATGCGTATTCTGTGGTGAGTTGAGGAATGAGCTTGGATTAACCGAATTTATGGACATTAAAAAGCAACAGCACGCGCGTCAGCTGTGCCAAACAAAGCGTGGCCAAGGTTCTATATAAATTGGCAACGTGTGATGCCAAAAAAGTTTAGAACATTTGCGGCAGCGGCTTGGTGCGTACGTTAGGCAAATTAAACCTGTAAACGGTCCGTTGAGTTCAAGTTCAAATGACACTGTCGCGGCAGGGCTTTTGCTGTGCTCTATTGGCCACTCTAATAGCCCAATCTGCCTGGGCCCAGACCGGTACAGAAGTTCCGTCAGTGCCATCAGCATCAAGCGACCTGTTCGAACTGCCGCCCACCCGCTACAATGACACCGAGGACTTGCTGGAGCAATACGCAACCTTCATGCTGGGAAACATGAATCAGAGCGTCGATCCCTGCGAGAATTTTTATGAGTATGCATGTGGGAACTGGAAAAAGGCAGAGCTGGTGCCCATCGAGGCTCGCAACGACAGCTTTCTGCATGCCATACAAAAGCGTATTGACACCTACGTGCTTGGCTTTCTCCAAAATGCCACCGAGTCGGAGCTGCAGGCCTACAATACCAGCTCTGCGGAGCGCAAGGCAAAGCAGTTCTACGGCAGCTGCATCAAAATGAAGAGCAACCTCACAGCGGGCTACCGCTCCCTCTTGGAGTACCAAGATGATCGATATAGAGCCCAGCGTCCGAACGAGACGATGGACTGGATCTACATTAACTTCATGTCCCCCTTCGATATGTATCCTCTGCTGCCGCTCAAGGTGCACTACAGTACACCCACGCGTAAGTTCCATATCCTGCTTTCAGTGCCACGCAAAGTACTGGGTAGTGTGGACGCCGCCACTCTCAAGAACATGACGCGGGACTTTCAAATAGCGGAAGGAGATCAACAGAAACACTTCATGGATGAGTTTCACAACCTCACACAGTTCGAGCGAAACCTGACTGACTTGGTGGTGGCTAGGAACGAGACGGAGCAGCTATCGCTGGGCGGGTTCCTAGTCAGACACAAGCAGGATCGTCTGAACTGGACGCGCTACTTCGAGATGGCGTTCAACGGCACACAGCAGGAGCATTGGCAAGTGCTTAATGTTGTGGATGGTGTTGGCCCCCTCGTGCATTTCTTGGAGCACACAAAGCTGGACATGCTACGTGCCTATGTTCGTTGGCGCGTCTTGCTCAAGTTCTACGCCATATGGACGCAGGACAGCACGGACAAGGCACAAGTTGAGCGCGCCTGTCGCGCCCATGTTGAGAGCTATTACAACTTTGCCCTGCTGCCTTGGTTCATAGCCAATGTGTTCGACAGTCAACGGCGCGCCGACATATTGAGTGTGGCCAAGGACATCAAGGAGACTTTCTATGATCTGTTGGATCGCTACAGCTGGCTCGACGACGAGACCAGGTCCGAGGCAAAAACAAAACTCTTGTCCATGGATGTCCTAGTGGGCTACAGCGATGAGTTGCGCCACCGATCGCTTATCGACGAGGTCTACAGCGACATCAACATGACTGGAAACTGGTATGAGGATCTAATGGTCCTGGAACGCAATCGGGCACGCATTCGCTTGAAGTCTGTGGACAAGGCGCTCATACCGCTGCTCATGCCGACTCGAACTGTCAACGCCTACTATGCGGACTTTCTGAACCTCGCATTCATCACCATTGGCATGGCGCAGTGGCCTTTCTATCACAAAGAATTTCCCCCAGTGCTCAAGTATGCCGGAATCGGAAACATTATTGGCCACGAGATGGCCCACGGCTTCGACTCCTATTGCTACCAATACAACTATGATGGCAAGAAGGTGAACTGGTGGTCGGCGGGCTCGCTGCGAAACTTTAAGGAGCGCTTCCGCTGTCTGGAGTCGCAGTACAACAAATTCATACTAATGGGTGTGCAGACGAATGGAACTCTGACCTCTGGCGACAACATCGCCGACAATGTAGGCACACGTATGGCCTATTACGCCTACAAGCGGCGAACCGGGGACAAGGCATGGGACTTGAAACCGCTGCGTAGTTTGAAGTTCTCCAATAAGCAGCTGTTCTTCCTGAAATTCGCCCAGACCTGGTGCTCGGGAAGAGACAGTGCATCGAAGCTGAAGAGACTGAAAACGGACGTACATGCCTACGAAGAGTTTCGGGTGACGGGTGTGCTGAGTAATATGCCAGAGTTTAGCGAGGCTTTCAAGTGTGAGCTGGGCACGGAGATGAATCCGCTGAAAAAGTGCGTGGTATGGTAGAAGTTAGGTACAAATGACGATTCTTGGGTGTATATAATAAAAATTAATTGATTTTAAGCAGAACCTGCGAAGAGTGGCTTCAATGGGCGAGGCAAGCAATATTTTTCTTCGACTTTTCAATGATGACACCTTTCTCACAACGAATTAATGGCATTTTAAAATGGCAGACAATGGCCAGACAATGAGAAGCAGCCGAACTACTGAAAGATCAGGCAGAGAGTCGGAAAGGTGTAGAAAGTCGCTCAGGTGAGATGCAGGCATGTTCAGCTGAAAACGCTTCACTATCATTAGTCGGCACTCGAAAAACTAAGAACAACAATCAAATAAATAACAGTTCCTGCACAATAATACCAGGAAGGAAAAAGGACAAGGCATAGAAGTTAGCAAGCCAAAAAGGCAACTAATGTTGCTTCTTGCATATGAAATGATGTATTCAGTACGAGTGCATCTGATATTTGTTTAAGAATCCCTTGAGCCAGAGTGTGTCCGAATTTATCTGTCTGTCGACGACCTAACGGATTTTCATGCATTTCTGGTGGATTTTCGGCGCCAGGTCTCTCTCCTTCTGCCTCTTATTAGCCAGGACTAGGGTCAATCCGTTGCAGGTAGGCGCAGGCGTCGTCCGCTGTGCGCTGCGTGAGGAAAATGCGTGACTTGTGCATGTCTGACTTCAGAGACTAATCTAAAGGTCACAAAAACAACGCATTACAATAGATCATTAATTTAACAGATTTTCCTTTTCTGCCCTGCCCGTGTCGAAAATGGCAAAAATTGTTATCTCTTAGGCAGCAGCCTAAGATGCAAAGTGGACCTACAGCAGTTGGGTTAATGGTTGAACGTTCAGAGTGGCATACATGCAGGTGGTCCTCCGATCTTCATTTATTCCGTAATTGCAATTGCAATTTGTTACTATGGTGCTCGGCGGAGCTGAATAAATTACAAATCAGGTTAATGACAGTTAAATAAGTCGGAGAGCAATAAGCTACAATGAATAAACACTTTGAAATTTCCTAGCCCAACTAAAAGAATCTCGACTACCAAAGGCGTAATCGCGCTGATGTGCAATATTCATACTTGAAAGTATTGGATGAGGTCAGTTTGGCAACAGCAGGATGATGATGATGATGATGATGATGATGACTGAGAGGAGGAGCGGGAAAGAAGTGAGCTCGCAAAATATCCAAATATATACGAGTATTGGTTATTGCTTGCTGAAAACATTTCGGTACTAAAACCGAACGAAGGGGCGTTCCAGCAGCCACAAGAGCAGCCACGCATTCGATGAACCCAGCCCTGCGAGCCAACTCCAAACAGGCCAAGATTAGCCGGTGTCCACAGTGAATTATGAAAATGGTTGCGAATTGAGGCAAGAACTGTGCAGGAAGCTCACGAACGAGCAGAGTGGCCGCCGCAATCTGACGACCAGGTTTTATTAAATGAAGATGATCAATTTAAATATTTTGCTGTGCCGGTGCTGTTCAGGTGCACATATTTATGGGTGTGCATGTGTGCGTGCGCGCTTGACCCAAACCTCCTGCAACACGCCAGTTGCATTCATCTTGATGCAGTCGGTTGGCCGACGCTAGGCCGTCGATTTGTATAAAAAATTTGCTTCATTTCATTTGCTCACTGGCTTTCTGGCTTACTGGCTCACTGGCTCACTCGTCCGCCTTCGTTCGGGCAACGCCCCCCTAAAACGCAACGCCCGGCAAAGAGGCGCAACGGCGCAGCAAACAAATCGCATATGGATCGTGTGGTCGCTCCGCCAGTTTGGGGGACTGGCAGGTTCTTTCTCGACGGCGTTGGTTGCTTACCGGCTTCGCGTTTGGCAGCTTTCTGCCAACGATTATCTAAATTGCATACGAAATTATTTTAATTAAAAATCTAATTTTCCTTCTCCTGCTCCGCCGCTCCGTTCTACTGTTCTGCTGTCCGATTTTACTGCTGCCGTTTCAGCAGGAGTAGTCGTTGTTGTTGCTGATGTTTTTGTTATTTAACATATTTCGGTGCTGGACTTTTCTGGACCTTTGTGGAGGGAATTTTCGAACTGGCGCTTGTTTGTTCATTGAACCTTTAATTTGACACGATTAAAATGATATTAGCGTGGGTTTCCTTGGGGTTAGTTCCAAGCGGGACATATGCTATCCATTCCCTCGAAAATTGGACTACGTTCCCCGTGCGTAGGAAGTGCGAAGATGTGACGTTGCCGCGCCGTCAGCTGGGCCGTCTAATTGTCAGGTATGGCTCCTTACGTGACTATTCTACGCCATTTATTGATTAATGATGCCTATGCGTAGCTTGGTTCGAAAGCATTGACGCCATTCCGGTACGTGTTAGAGGGTTAATGCACATCCTAGTATGCATTTGACTTGATCCAATTGAGGATCAAATGTACACTCACAAAAATATTTCCCTCAAAAATGAAATTAAAACTTAAACTTGCGATATGAAATAAACAGAGACCAGAAGAGGGAAATACTAGCCCAGCCGGGCCTTGAGAAAGCACTCAAGGTAGAAAATGGAGTGGGAGAAGCCATGAAAAAGCTGTGAAAATCACAATTTATGCCACGCCCACATAATTATTTTTAACAAGTGGAAAAGCTAAAGGTTACACTAGACTAGACTATAACTCCTTTGAAAATGGTCTGTCATGATGAAGCACAAGCACCACAGGGAAGTAATTGCCGAAATGGATAAAAAAAAGTTACAAGAATTACGTTAGTTATGGAAAATTCCTAAAAGCGGAAGGTGGCGAAGAGGGAGGGAAGGAGGAACATTTTTAAATATGCATGTGCTGCGTACTCATCCGAGTAGAAGATATCTGTGACAGTCTCCAACCAGACTGCTAGGTTTATGGTAAATAGATATAGCTCTTTTAACACAATGTTGATATTAACAATTGTGTTGTTTACATCTTCGGTCAAATTTATCAGAACTTTTCTGAGTAGACTAACTTTCGCCATGAAATTTATTGCCTTTTCGAGAGGTTGTTATCCCAAAGGGTTAAAGGTATACTAAACTAGTATACTAGGGGGGAGGGTTACAAAAATCAAAAATTCAATAAACCCATGCTATACAGGCGAACTAGGTATACTAGGTATACTAGTTTAGTATATACTATATGTAATATGCAGAAGGAGGATGACAAGATGAGTCAATATCTAAATCTCGATAGCCTGTTCGCCTGTATAGCATGGGTTTATTGAATTTTTGATTTTTGTAACCCTCCCCCCAAGGAAATTCTGCTAATTCTAAATAATAAAGTAATAATTCTAAATTCAGAATAACGAGACAAATCGATATATAGTAGAAATACGACATACGATCAAGATACTATAAAAGATAGAGACACCAAATTTTAGTCTAAGATGCCAATATGTTTATGCAGAAAATGTGCCTTTCAGAAATTTTAAGTAAATAACTTTTTTTTTTTAATATTTCTACAGCGTTTCAAGGTTGGGATACCCGACTTTATTTTCTCCACTTGTTTATTTTAACTCTGCCCTTTATAATCCGAAAAAAAACATTAAAATTAGTTTAATATATCATTTAGCTGCTGCTCTGTTTTTGTTCTGAGTGTACTAATAAATAAAGAGTTTTTAGACCAGCTGAGCAGCTATGGAGAATCTAGGCAATGCCCACGATTTCTGGGCAATTCAATCAACCACCAACCGGTGCTTATAATTTAAATAAGTGTTTGATTTCAATTTAATTGCCAGAGAACCTGTCTGTCTGGCTCTAGGATTGAAAATAAATCAAAACCTGCAGCGTTTTCTCAACACATCATAAAGAACTACAACAACACAGAAGCTGGCGGTAGCAGCTAAGACTCTGCCTCGATCAAAGGGACGCGCTAATCACACGCTGAGGCAAATAGGATCTAATTTCCACACGAGACTCATTTTTTATTAAAATGCATATAGCATGCCACAATTGGGGCAAATTGAAAACGCAGAACATGAAGTTATAGAGCGATCAGGTGTGCACTGACGTTGTCGAGTCGCTGCTTGATTGACGTTTCTCTGCAACTGCAACTGCAACCAGCGGATGTGGCAGCCATGGCTGCATTCAAATTTTGCGCACAGCCCGAAGATAAATGATGAGAGTGCGGCAGGTAGCCAACAGGTAGATGATAGCAGACAATTCGATTTGAATTTCGACAATAATTAAGCGCAACAATGGATTGATTGGGTTTTCTCAGGCCCAGCCCTTGCCGCATGCATTTTCGTATAATCTCCAGAGTAGTGAAGCGTCGGGGTTTTTTGTGGTTCAAGCGAGCCTGCAATTAGTTGTTGGTCTGCTTCCCAAACCAACAACAGAGCACACAACAAAGCGGCAGTTGTTGTTGCTGTTGCTGATGCCGTTGCTATTGCCTTTGCAATTATCATAATTATTTTCTTCATTCATGCAGTGATGCGATAAATCTATCGGCTAGGGTTTTTACTACTACGCTTCGAAGAGAGATGCAATTGGCGCGATAACATTTCCTTGGGCCATACAGAGTCTTCGAAAATTTGTTGCTGCTGACAGTTGCTCTGATGTGCGTTCTATTATTGGAGATCAGATATGCATTCAAATTTCGCCTTTATTCCGCTTCCGGCTGCACATTGGAACTACAAGTACCATATCCCAGTGTACAGGTATTTACACGCACATACGAGTATACTGAGTAAATAGAGCCCCAGTCTGCACTCCACTCCACTCCACTCCACACCACACCAGAGCTCTCCACTCTGCTTGTTTGTATTCTGTTTTCACAATATAATTGACAATTAAGAAAATTATGTTATAATTTCATGTTGTTCGCTCTTTCCAAATCCATTTACGCCTTTTGGTAATCGTTGCTGGTGCCTGCCACTTGTCTGCTGTCATTGCGATCTGTGTTGGCGCCGCGCCTGCGCGCAGCTTCTTGCACACAGACTAGTAGTCGCTGGCTGGCTGGCTGGCAGGCTGGCTGGCTTGTAGTCCCCCGTGAGCGTCGCGTCGATGGCACGTATCGG